AGTCCAGCTTCTGGCCAATGCAACTGTGCTTGCACTGTTTTTCTGTCATGAGAAGCTGCGTCGCAACGAGCAGCTTTACACACTCATGCTGCTTTCGTTCTGCGATATGATTTTAGCCATCTCTGATATTCCCTACGGTTACGTATTATTTACTGGATGGCGCATTAGCGCAAACGGTTTGTGGAATTATTTCGCAGCGCGGCTATCTTTTCTTTTTTTAATCTGAAGAAGCACAGAAAATTCAATGATAGACTAAGTAGTTTGTGATTTTGAACCTTTCAAACTTTGACATCTAAGACTGTCCGGGCAATCACTGTGGATAATCTATGCTGGTGATTTTAGTGGGATCTTACAAGCTGGGTGCAGTTTTGGGAGCCAACCGACTTTATATTCCTCACCAACCTTTTGTGCAGCGAAACACTTCTGACTCTTTCCAACCATCGATATATTTCTTTCGGTCAGCTACAGTTATTCGAAATGGCGAATTGCCTCTGCTGAGTTTGATTTTAGCGCGTCGTAGAAGAAGTCAAAAATAGAGAAGAATGAAGAAGTTGACATCAGTGGCGAGAGGAATCACAAGACTGACAGAAGTTCCTAAATATATTAAATTAAAAACAGATATTTTAGGGTCGGTAATTTATGATCCGATAAAAATCGTAATCTCGGCCGCACCATCAGCGGCAATGATGCGAGCTTGCAGCATTGCAAGTGTTGCTATCGCCATTGATCGCATTTATGCATCATATTATCCAGTACAATATCTGAAGTATTCTCGAAAGTAACCTTTATTTGTTACTTAACATTGAGAATACTCATAAAAAAGCAAGGAATGATGGACCAGCCAGGCCTATTTGGTAATGGAATCTCCGAGCAACAGCAAATACCGTATTAGATAGAGTTTTTGAAATCTTGGGGGAAAAACATGGACAAATTGCATTTTTAAAAGAATCAGTTATTATCAAACCTATCACTAAATGTCGTACTGTGGCACTGCAGTGACTTAAGCTTTGTTCTTTCTTAATAAACTTGGCCCAGCTATCAAAATTCCTAGATCGCCGATATCATAACTCCTCTATGTCGTTCCTAGCCTCTCTTGATTATATATTAATAGATTTTATACATTTGGTCAATTCGACTCCGTAGACAATCAATTCAATTTGACGCCGTCTTGCATAAATCCATTTGCCCATGCTGGTAATCGTGCCATTCG